ACGCCCATAAACAGGAGTATGAAAGGAAATGGGATGCATTGGAGGGATTGTGAAGAGAGGGGAACTGAGCTGAGCGAGCAGTTCCACACTGGTGAGTCGTGGGCACACCGCTGGCCAGATTACCAAAACAGAGCAGAGTGGTTTAGGTTGACCTGCTAGCCCTTCACCGTCCAGTGCAGTAGCCAGTATTCACATGTGGCTGTTGACCACACAAGATGTAGCTTGTCCAAACTGATGGGCTAGGTGTAAAATGTACACTGGGTTCAACACAAAAAAGAATGTAAAATTCCTTGTTAAAATATTTTTGATATATTAGATTAAATGAAATACATTATTAACATTGATTTCACCTGTTTCTTTTTCCTTTTGTTAATGTGACTGTGAGAACATTTTAAATTACATGTTGACTCACATTCTATTTCTGTTCAACAGTACTGTGAACAAGGGGCGGGGAGGGAACTGGCCAGCAGTGATGCTTGAATGTAGAAACGCAGCTGGGGAGAAGCAGGGCAGAGGCTGCTTCCTGCGAACGTCATCTCCCGGAGTGTTGTCTTGTTAGCCGCTGCTTTAAAGGTGACACGTTGGCATGGCAGCAGTTCCTAGTTCAGAAAAAAGGTTTTAAATAAAGCAGTGTGAAAGCAAGGGGCTGAGACACATGGAGGAGGCAGCCAGGGGTGGTGGCTCTCCCTTTATACACTCACCACCAACAGAGCAGACCCGCACCCCATGTGTGCCTCTCCCCTGCACCTGGACCCGTCACCCCCACACCATCCATCCACACTCCGCCATGCTGCCTCTTCCAGTGTTAGATCCGATGGTAGCTGTCTGAATATTCTGTGTAGCATCACTACAAGTGGCAGTTTAATGGCTGTGTGGACACCTCCAGTGACAGGAGCTCCGTAGCTCACAAGGGAGTCTGTCTCACTTATTCAGGATTGTTACCATGGGAATGCTTTATTCCCAGCTCATCCTTTCTTGCTAAGGATATGTAAGGAGTGGGTTAGAGTTCCTGGATCCTTGATTCCAGGTAGCTGGAGGGTGTAAACCACTGCTTCTTTCTCCTTTTTTAAGGTTTATTTATTCATTTGAGAGGTAGAGCAACTGAGAGAGAAAGGGAGAGAGAGAGGCCTCTTCCATTCACTGGTTCACTCCCTAAATAGCCACAACAGCCAGGGCTGGATCAGGCTGAGGCAAGGAGCCAGGAGTTTTATCCAGGCCTCCCAAGCACTTGAGCCATCTTCCTCTGCCTTCCCAGGCACATTAGCAGGGAGCTGGATCAGAAGCGGAGCAGCCAGGACTGGAACCGGTGCTCTGACGTGGGATGCCAGCGCTGCGAGCAGCAGCTTAGAGCACTGTACCACAACGCCAGCCCTCACTGTTTCTTACGGACAAGGGGAGAGTAGTACAGTGTGAACAAAACCTTTCCAAAAGTAAATAAATTAGTTAAATAATTGTCACTCCCAAGAGGTTTCTAGCTGGGGTGAGGGGTGAGGAGGCAAAGCCAAGTTAGCAGCTGATAGGAGCCCTAAGCCAGCAAATCCATTTCAAAGTCAAGTCAAAACACACCCCCTTCCCTCTCTGTCTCTTTTCTTCTCTTTTTCTCATTGTCTCCACTTGGAATCTCTCTCCATCCCCTACATTTTCTTTTGCTTTATTTCCTTGCTTGAGAATTTACTTTCCCAAGACGTAGTCTTGCTTTCACAGCACTCCCAGTGACACTGACTCTGGGAGCAGGCCTCTGCGCCCACCCCCACACCCCGTGGTGTTGCACCTTGGCCAACTGAGACGTGACAGCAGGCTGTTTGACCCCTGTCTTTGAAACATATGCCCATTATGAAGTCAAATTGTGAGACTTCGTGTGGACATAGTTCAAACAGCACTTCCAAACAGCTGTATAACCCATTCACCCACATCATCTTATTATCTCTGGGCTTTTTTACAAGCTCAAAGAAGGCAATGATTTGGCCAGAGTTGCCCAACTTGAAAGTGGCAGAACTGGGACTTGGAACTTGGTCTTCAACAGATCGTATGTTTCCTCCCATACTGTCATTTGGCCTTCTTTGACTCAGCTAGGAGACAAGTGGAATGAAAGAACTCAAGTAGAGTAATATCAGTTGCTTTTGGGGTGGGGGGGACAGGAAGCTTAGAAAGTGTCATTTAGGAATTGTCCTATCCTTTGGTGTTAGGGCCAGATTTCTCCATCTTTGGGGTTATTTTTGGAACCTCTTATAGCTCAGCAGAGCAGACTGAAAAAGTCAGGTGTTCTAAACCAGGGCATTGAACCTTTTGAAAACTCTGGACAGATGCTAACTTGTGACCTATAAATCCATGCGATAAAGCACAGCACACAGAGTTGTGACCTGCACATTATCAAAGCCAGTGACTGTGACCACTTCGCTGCTTTATCCTTTGAGCTTCTTTAGACTAGAGGAATAAAACCCAAGTAGGACCTGCGTCTGATTTTAACTTTTTTTTTCTTTGAGAAGCAAACAGAGAGCTTGCAGCTACTGGTTCACTCCCTAAATGACTTCAACAGCTGGGGCTGGGGCTGGGAGCTGGGACTTGAACCCAGGTACTCCAATATGGGATGCGTGCATCCCAGGCGGTGTCTTAATTAGGCCAGATTCCCACCCCTGATCTTAACTGGGTCTTCAGTCAGTGGTTCTCAAAGTGTGATCTCCAGACCAGCAGCAGCAGCTTCTGGAACTTGCTAGAAATGTAGATCCTTAGTCTCCACCCCAGACCCAGTAAAGTAGAAACTATTCTGATGCTGAGGTTGGAGAATCATTAATTTAAGCCACCAAGAGAACTGAAATTGTCCAGTCAGTGTGACCAGAAGTCTGGCACCTCTGCATGTGTGTGTCCTGTAGGTGTTGCAAATATATATATATATATTGTGCTTTGTGGTTACATTACTTGGTATTTCCTGATCAGGTTAGTTGTGCTTAGAATTTGCTTGACTGTCATGCAAAATATCATGAAGTTTTTTAGAGAAGAAAAAAAGAATTGGCAATGTCCAATAAAGTAATGGGTCCCCCACCACGGGAAATAATAGATTTCTCCTTATGAAGAGGGAACATTGCCCGAATGGTTATTGAAGTCAAATATTTTGACATAAGATTGTGACTTAATACTCAAGATGAATGCTAAATAATTCCCAGAACAGGTTATGTCAAGGAGCTCTTGTTAGCACTGGTAACTTTGAGACAGTTTAGAGCAATTAGATCTAGAAAATGTAGCAAGACTAGCATAGACCAATAAGAAAGCAAGATGAATTAACTGAGCCAATGAAAAGACCTGCACAACAGAAAGGAGAGGCGGAGGGTGGGCGGATGGGCAAGTGAGCTGGAGAGCCAACCCAGAGGCTGGGCATGAGCAGTCTAGGATTGACTCGAGGTCTTGGGTTTCAGTCGCCACAAACCCTCCAGAAGCCAGGGGAGATGCAAGAGGGGAAAGGAAGGCTTGCAGAGCCGGTGCTGAAGATGGAGCCATTGACTAGAGGCCACTGTTGAAAGAGACCTCGCCAGACACCAAGCCAACTTCAAGCCCACTCTCTGTTCCAAATGTGGACCTTAACCATGCCCTCTGCTCTGCCCTCAGTTCAGTGTTCCAGTCTTAACCGTGCCCTCTGCTGTCGCCAGCCACAAATCTTTACTGTTCCAACACGCAGTGCCAGTCCTGTCCCTACAGGAAAGAGAAGGCAGAATGAATAGTATTTGTAGTTTTTTGTGTCCTCTTGTTTGATGCGATAATGGGGCATGAAAGCACTTCGGGAAGTCACAGGACTTGGGCAGGATATTGCACCATGTGCCATTGTCATTCTTCCTCCAGTGCCAGTCGTTGATTGGTGACACCACATTTCTGCACCAACCTGTTTTCCTAGAGAAAAGGGTTCACAGTGCCAGGCTGTGATCCACACCTAAAGAACAGGCATTGCCTTCTTTCTCTCTGTGAGAAGAGATATTTGAGCCACATTTTTCCTGCCTGGGATCACGCCGGTTCCCTCTGCTCTAGCTAGGACCTGACTCACTCTCCAGACACCTTCCTTGCAGGTGAGGTTTGACACACCAGGAAAATCCCATGAACCACAGGTGACAACAGAGAGATAGCTGTGCTGTGGTCCAAGGTGCAGTAATTGGCCAAGCCCAACACAGAAATGCCTATGCTTTCTCAAGTGTCAGCCTCCAGCTTCCTGCCAGCGAGGCCTGGGGACAGAGACTCCCTCACCTGGGTCCTGCCCCATTCTCCCTGCCGGCTGACTCAGGAGGAGAACACTTGTCAGTGGTGTAAACATGTGGCTTGAGTTTCTCCGACGGCAGACACTCTGCTAACGGAAGAGGCCCTCTAGCTTCTCCAGGGTTTCAAGGGAAGAAAGCTTGATTGCAGTGTGGTTGGGTTCGGGGGTAGGCTTTGGATGTGTTCCCTAAAGGTTCGTGTGGTGGAAGCCTGGTCCCCAGCGTAAGAGGTGGCAGATCTCTAAGATCTGGGGTGTCAGGGGAAGGTGGGTCAAGGGGCACCACCCTCAAAAGGGATCAATGTGGCTCTCACAGGGCTGGGCTCCTTCTCGTGAGAGCAGGTGGTAGTGAAGTGAGGTCACCCCACGTGCTTGGCCCCTCTGCACTTGGCCATTTCCATTCCCGCATCTCTGCCGTGTTGTGTCACAGCCAGTTGCCAGTGCCACACTGTTTGGACCCTCCAGCCAAATAAACCCCTGCTCTTTGTAGAGTACCCAGCCCCAGGTATTTTGTTGTAGCAACACAGAACAGACTAAGACAAGCTCCACTGAGTACACCCTAAGGGCCTGCAGCCAATAACAATGAGCCGTAGGAACCGGTGGCGGCCCCTCATCGTCCCTCATCTGCCGAGCTGGGTCTCAAGCCTCAAAGGTCAAGGGTTCCGAGGCACCTGAGCAGGGCTGCCTCTGAGCTGGGCTGCCTCTGAGCTGGGCGGTCCAGGGAGGGCCCTGCCCTGCTCCTGAGCTTCTGCCTGCTTCTCCCCAGATCACACGGCAGCAGTACCAGAATGCACTCACCGCCTGCCACCTGGACAGCTCACCCCAGTCCCCCGACATGGGCGCCTTCACTGACGGGGACTCCAGCAAGGCCCCCACGACCCGGGGCACGCCTCAGACCCCCAAGGATGACCCTGCTGCCGTCTCACTCCTCAACCACAGGAGCAGCCTCCCGTGTAAGTCAGTGGGCGGATGGCCGAGCCTCCTTCCCATCTCGTGCCTCACAGAGCCCCAGGCCCCCTTCCGAGCGGAGCCTGAGGCGTCCACTGTCCTCCACAGGCAGCCGCTCGGACGGGCTGAGAAGCCCCGGCGAGGTGGTGTACCTGAGGATGGAGGAGCTGGCTCTCACCCAGGAGGAGACAACCGACTTGGAGGAGCAGAGCACACAGCAGCTCTCGCTGTCTCCCGCAGCAGGTCCCACAGGAGCAGGTCAGGACGGAGTCTGGGCTCAGACGAGTATCATCTTGGGCAAGGAGATGGCACACGGCAAGCTGGGTGAGAGGAGCCCTGGGACCCCAGCCCTGGAGTACACCCTCCCACCTCCTTACATAGCCACGGGAGAGACACGCCCACCAAGCACCTGCTATGGATTGGGCCCTGTCTCGTTCATTCTCCCAGGACAGCTGTGGTAGGCAGTGTTAGGAGCTTGGACTCTGCCTGGATCCAGCCCCCAACTCCTTCATGTAGGAGCTGTGCGATTTTAGACAAGTTACTTAAGACAAGTTGCTTATCTTCATTGATGATCCTCCTACATGAATAGCTATAAATGATGGTAGCTCTCTTGGGAAGTGGTGTTGAGTATAAACGGGACAGTATACTTTAAGGGCACACATATCACCATGTGTGGAGCATCTACAGTAGGTAGTTATTATTCGACTCGCCTTACAGACTAGGAAACTGGAGTCAGCCATCACTCTTTTTTTTTTTTTCTTAGAAAAAGAGAGGCAGAAACAGAGATCTTCCATCTGCTGGTTTTCTCCCCAGATAGCCACAATGGCTGGAGTTGGTCGATCCAAAGCCAAGAGCTTCTTCTGGGTCTCCCATGTGGGTTCAGAGGCCCAAGCACTTGGCCATCTTCCACTGCTTTTCCAGGCACATTAGCAAGGAGCTGAATCAGATGTGGAGCAGCCGGGTCTCAAGCTGGTGCAGACGGTAGTTTAACCCCTTATGCCAGAGTGCCGGCTCAGTCATCACTCTAACCAGCAGCACCCCTTCCTTTGGGCCCAGAGACCCAAGGTTGTCTGGGAGTTTTTCCTGAGGTCCTAGATTGCATTGCCTCCGAGACATTGAACGCTTTTGCCCTGATGGTGCGGTTGCTCCAGCAATCCCGACATCTTTCTGTGCTCACTAAGTACACACCCCAAACTCTCAGGAGGCCCCTACACCCACCTTCAGGCCACCTGTTCCCCTACCGGACCTCTCAGACCTACCCTAATCCAGAGTGTAAGAGCCCTCAGACCCAGAGAAATGCCTTGAAGAGAACTTACGAGGCCAGCAGACGACACTCTTGGACTCCTGGCTAACCCAGAAAATCCTGGAGGGTCACCGTTCCAGGATACAAGTTTAAAACCAGTGACCCTTCTCTCCCACACACACCGAATCCATCGCCAAAGCACAAGGGAAGAAAATGTGGCAAAGGCGTCAGAATGGAGGCGTGGGGTGGGGTAGTCTTTGAAATCACCCAGTCCTCCCTCCGCATGGGACACCTGAGGACCCTGGAGGCCTAGACAAGGGAAACGTTTGCTCAAGTCCAAACCTGTGCTTGAAGCAGCCTCAGTCTCTGGGTTTCGGTGCAGTGCCGTCTCCGGCTCGTCACCTGCCTGCCTGGTTGGCCCTAAGCCATGACCTCCTCCTGGTTCTCTTGGAATCCCCTTCTGAGGGTGCTTGAAGGTTGTTGAGCCTACAGTTTGCCAGGGCTGTGTGAGCAGAGGAGGGAGACAGCCCTACCTTTCCCCAGATGCCCTTTGGGTGGAGAATATACCGTGCCCTTCCTCCTTTGCCAAATGGTGCTTGGGGGTGAGGGCATTATCCCTCCCTTTGCATGGACTTCTGCCTTCCCTTCCTTTTATGGCACCAAAATGCCTGTTGCCAGCACCCTCTGGGCCTTCCCTCCATTGCCACGCCACCCTGCGCAGGCTCCTGTACAGGATGTCACGCAGAATCACCTTGCCTTGATCCCTGGGCATGGAGGTCGAAAAAACTTGAGTTCTCTCTTCCTTCCTCTCTCAGCGTCAGACAATGAATGTTGTAACATCCACCTGGACACGGAGACCAGCCCTTGCAGTAGCGACTTCGAAGAAACCATGGGCAAGAAGCTGCTGCGAACCTTGAGTGAGTAACGCTTCCCCCAGCCTCGGGCCACCCCCAGCCCCACCCGCGCGTTAGCAAGAAAAGCACATTAGGCTCTTGCTCCTGGAGGAGGCAACTTTGGCTTCTTTTGGGAGCTTTGTTGAGGCACAGTGCGCCCGGGCTTGGGCTGAGACCGCACCCTTGATAGTGGATCTGCCATACCTGCTGTGGTCTCTGGGCTAGGAGCTCATGGCCTGTGCCTGTAGGTCAAACCCCAACATCTCTCCTCCACTTGTTTTCGCCAGTAAACACTCACTAGACCATAGAGACCAGTTTGTTTTCCGCAGCCACAATGGCAGAGTCGAGTACTTGTGAGACCGTTTGGCCCACAGAACCTGTAACATTTACTATCCAGTCCTTTAAAGAAGGGCTTTGTGGCCAGGAGACTCACCGCACAGGAAAGCAGTCCCCTCGGCAGGTGACGGCCAAGGGGGTGGCTGGAATCCTGGAGTCTCCCTTCCTCCAGACAGCAGCGCTGGGAGCACATTGCTTTTCCATTCTTGAGGACAACTCCGCAGTTACCCCACTGCAAGGCAGAAGGGAGCTTACGTCAGAGCTGGAGAATGTAGGGCCCTGGGAATGGCTTCCAGCTGCCCCCACAAACCTTGGCTCTTGGGACATCAAAGGCCGTGAGAGCCGCGCTCTCTGAGCCAGGGTCTGGCAGTGAGTGGAGCCGGGGCCCTCAGGCGACGCAGGCAGGATCCTGAACGATTACACAGACTTTCCTCAATCCCTCCAGGAAATTGCCATTCCAGACGCTGTCCTGGATTTGTGGCTTTTCAAAGCTGCTGTCTTAGGTGGAAGGTGCACCCTAATCCTTCAAGATGTAAATATGCCCAGTCAGCCCTAGGGATACAGGCAGATCAGTCCCAGCCACGCTGGCCAGGGCTCGGGCTCCGTTTCTGCTTCTGTTCTGAAGAGCGCTTGGGCCGCTGAGAGTGTGGCCGGCCCCTCCAGGCTCACAGGGTGGTACTGACACACTTTGCAGGTGGTCGAAAAAGGAAGAGGTCTCCAGATGGAGAGAGAAGCGCAGAGGAGAACTCCAACCTGACACCGCTGATCACGTGAGCAGCACAGACAGAGTCGGCCGGGCGTGTGGGGCTCCAGAGCTTTGGGGAGAACCCGCCCTCCAGCACCTGCTCCCCGAGGCCCCCCCAGGTGACAGAGCATTCTGCCTTTCTTCCGCCTCTCCATCCCCAGCTGTCAGTGTGGCACATTTTCCCTCGTTGCCTCCAACTTGACTCAGAGCCTTGCTGTGGCTGTAATGGAAGGAAGTGCCTCAGATGGAAAATGCTAGCCCAGGCTGGGCCTGCAGAAGAGATGACCCCCACCCAACAATGCTGCTCTGGGACCCCTGATGATCTCTGGGCTTCCCCATGTCCTGGAACTCACCACTCTGTCCTCCGGAGCAAAAGGACACCTTCCTGCCCCGCTGCACGCTCAGCTGAGCTCTGAGGTGCCCCTGGCAGACAGGCACACAGGCGGCTGCGGTAGCAGGTGTGAAGGTCAGTTCTGGGGATGGACCAAGAACGCCAGGGCTGTGGGGCAGCGGGACGCAGCCATACCGCACACACGAGACTCATGTTCCAGCATTCAGCACTGTCAGCGACCGGTTTCCTGTTAGACAAAGGCCCTGGCAGCCTGGAGAAGTGAGTCTCAGCTGAATGGAAAGAACGGGAGGTGGAACGTTAAGTCACTGTTTTTCCCAGGGACACCAGTTTTGGCTCCCAACCCGCAGTCATCAGTTGACTGCTCTGGAAGAGGAAGAGCAGGAAGTGGGAGCCAGAGATGGAACTTCAGGTTTTAAGTAAATAATCATGAAAAAGAAAAAAAAAAAAAAATATATATATATATATATATATGTGACTGACAAAAGATTCCAAGCTGTTTTAGCCATGACAAACCAAAGAGTGCCCAGGTCAGCCAAGAAGGATGCGTGCTCTCACGAGACTTCAGTGTGCATCACACGGGAACGTTGAAGAGTCCTTCTTCTGTCTCACCCACTACCCCCAGCCCTTACTGCACTGCAGCGGGTTAGCTTAGTGTGCTTTATTCCAAGGACTCATAATAAATCCCTGGTTTTCTCCTGTACCTTAGGACAGGTGTAATTCCAGAGATAACCACCAGATGGCAGAAGGACTGCACATACGTGCCTCCAGGAAGGAACGCTCTCAGATCAAGAACCACAGGGGGCCTTAGGGAAAACTTGAAAGTGAGTGGGGTTTCCGTTTGGGACACCAGTCTCCACCCCCTTGATGCCCTCAGTCAGGTACTCAGTGCTCCCGTGCTGCCTGCTGAATCCCAAGCCATTCCCAGATTTCCCTATCCAGGCTTCCCTCCGTCACTCCCACCTCCCGCAGCCACTCAGTCAGAAATCAGATGGCAAAGGGACTGGTCATTCCTCTGGGTTATTTGCATCTCGAAAGGAAATGCTTACCCACAGGAACCTTGAACTCAGGGGTTCTTCACTTGGGGTCCATCACCCTCGGGGGTCCATAGTTGGACTTTGGAGGGGCTATGAAACCCCAAAACTGTCAGAGTTTAGTGTTTGTCCTTGTGCGTGTTTTCCAGAGGGTTAAGGCTTTCCTAAGTCTCAGTGGCCTCAGACTCACAAAGGGTTAAAATAAAACTCATTATTTTAAGTAGTGGACCCATGGGCCCAGAGTTTCTGCAATGCAGGGTGAAGTGAATACTGGGCGGCTTGAGTCAGATTTTTTAATTAGACATGATCTTCCGGGGTGTCCATCGCTCAGCAGGGAAGGCTGGCCTCCCTCCAGGAAGTGGAGTTCTCAGAAGTTCCAAGCACAACCTGTGTATAAACTACACCCCACACCCTTGTCCCCACCACCCCAGAGCTGCTGCTGTACACAGGAGGGTCACAGCATGCAGGAGGGAAGACGTGGGAGCCGGAGACGCCTTTCTGGTGGTGTCTCCTTGACTTGGACTTGACCCTCGCCTGACCTGCCCAGCAGGAGGCTCAGCCATGCATGACTGCTCCTAGATAGCTGCACAGCCACCCCTGCCAACACCTGCTCTGGCCCCGCAAGAAGAGACGAAGCAGCAGCCCCAGACCCCAAGCAGCCAGCTTGGAGCAGGAGCTGCCATCCTGCGGCCTCGTCCGGCTGGCCACTGGCCCAAGGGAGCCTGCCTGGCGAGGTTGCCCGTCGTGACCCAGGGCCACCTGCTCAGGCCGCTGCTGCTGGGTAACATCCATCCCTCTGCAGAATCCCCAAGGAGCCTGTCACCACTCCCCTCCCTGTCCCCTGCACCCTCCTCCCAAGATTTTCTTCAGGTTAAAAATCAAAGTTTAAAAAAAAGATTTTAAGATAAAGCATTTATGAAGGCTCAATAAGTTGTACATACTTTTTAAATAAAATGAAAATGCCTTTCCTGGAATCTTGCAGTTCTGAGGTGGTTTCATTGGAGATGCAGGTGGGTGGTGCACACCTGCCGGAAGAGGCCGGCGCGAGGCTGCGGGAAGGTCACAGGAAGGCCTCAGTACTGCATCCTGAGAGGCCAGCTGGGCAAACGCCAGAGACGGGAAGTCAAGCCCCAGGGAGAAGCCAGGGTGTGATGGAGACAAGAAAGGAGCACTAAGCTTGTGGTGAACCCATGTGATGCGTGAGGCATTGTGCTGGGTGCCTTCCAAGTTCAAGGTCTCGGTGGCCCCTGAGACAATGGGCTAGTCACCTTGGCTCCCTTCTGCAGACTCCAGCACTTTCCAGCCAAAGGCTAGAGAGAAGAACGGGGAGTGAGGCAGGCCTCCTGGTCAGCTTAAATTAGCACAGTGTGGAGGGAACCAAGATAATTTTTTAAAAGGTCAAATTCCTATTGAGATTGAGATGTAGCTCTTACCATGGCTGTATCTTAGTTTTATTTGAGTGGTCTTATGAGGGGTGTTTCCCATTAGTTTATAGAGGACAGGGATTTTTATCTTTGTTCACCAGGTTATTCTTAGCACCAGATGTGATGTGACACACGATCAAGGACTCACAAGTGCCACCTCCCTGTGTTTGAAAGGTCACCAGTAGAGGGGCCCGGAGGACTGTACTGTTTGTAGTTGGAAGGGGGCAGGGGCGTAGAACAGGTGCAGATCAAATTCTGGTTCAAGGTGAAGGACCTTTCAAACTGTGGGGCTCCACCAGCAGAACGGGATGCTCACCCCGTACTGAGAGCAGCCTCACCACTGCCCTAGCTGCACGTGCAGAGCTGAGACAATATGGAAGAAACCAGCTCACCAGGGAAGCGTGGGGACCCCCACCATCCCCCAAGACTGTAGGATTTTACCACTCAAAGGAGTTCTAGAAAGGTACAGATCCTGTTCATGTAAGAATTAGGTTTAAATACTTTAAAACTTCAAGTATTAACCCTGTTGTTTAAGAAAGACTCAGCCCCAGCAAGTTCTCCAAACCACCACTTGCAGAAGCCAAGACCGTCTGCGAACCGTGAGCTGTTTAACTGCTGCAGCTGTCCAAGGGCCTAGGGGGCCCTCCAGCTGCAGTAGGAGGGGCTGCTCTTCTAGAATCACCCTGGGCGATGTCATCCCTCCTACAGGTGATATCCAAAGACAGCTGGCCTCCGCATGACCTGCCCACAATATGGATACGGGGTTGCGGGGTGGTGAGTTCACCAGAGGGAGTCAGTCATATTTTGGGAACACATTTTAGTATTTACTTTAGCCACCAGTAAATCCCTCATTTTAAGCTGGGTTACAACTCACAAAATAAATTCCATGGGTCTTCATTAGGATTTTATTTATTAATTTTTTTTCAGTGAAATAGAATACAACAGAATGGACTAGAAAATGTCAGGATGCACTACACAGAGAGAGGGTCAGTAGCGGTTCTGAAACCTTGGTTTCAGTTCCAGAAGTGTGTATCTGCGTGTGTCATGATGCAAATCTCTTACCACACTCACCCGGAAGACAAAACTCGGGACCAGGGATGCCACCATGCAGAAAGAGCGGGAAGACAGCACACTGTGGGTGGAGATGACGAGTTTTAATGCCACAGCCGAATCCCACAACCACACTCGCCTCCTTCTGGCAACCTGCTCTTTGGGACTGGACTCTGCAGAGTTGAGCAACACACAGCAGCATACGAACAACACGGGCCACACTCCTGCTGCTAGGGAGAGTGGCAAGATACCTGCATCTCATGATCGGAGCACTGTTTTATTTTTAAATAAAAAGCTTAATTTGCCCTGGCCTCCGAAAGGCTCTAATCCCAAGCCCCCAGTTCTTTCCAAGAGGTGTTCTCCCTGGACCAGGTTACACAGCATCCGCCCTTCTCAGTCCTTGAGTCATCTTCAATCCATGATATGTACAGCTGGGTTTGTGTGGGTGGGGGACACACGTGCAGAGACCCAATCAGGTGGTGCTGGACTGGAGGGTGTTTCTTCACTGGACTTTGGTGACTGCTTCATGGATGGAGGTGGCCACGTAGTCGAGGTTTTTGGTGGTGAGGCCACACATGTTGATGCGCCCACTTGGCAGCAGGTAGATGTGTTTTTCGTTGATCAGGTAGTCGACCTGCTTGGCTGTTGGAGACAAAAGAGCTCGTCAGAGTAGGAGGGGCCCTGTAAGCAGTGGAGGTGCAGGGATTGTATAATAACCACAGTTTTCCAGACTTTTTGGACAGCCCCCGCCTCTCCCCAAGACAAATGCCATGAATGAGCCAATAGCTGAAAACCTACGCTGACCTCTGACCCGGGGCCATCAGGTGTGTGGTCACTTCCCAGCCTTCCGCGTTTGCAGCAGTGCCGCAGGTATGAAATGGGAAAGGGCCGCCTCTCTTTTCTTTATGCTTCAATCCCATCCCTAGAGTGGTTCTGCATCACTGCCAGTCCATGATACAATTCTGGCTGATCTTGGCCTAACTGATTAGCTCCCTTAAGACACCGTCAGTCTGAGGGCATGGGATAATAGTAGAATCATTACAACAATCAAAGGAGCAACACTATGTGCCAGGCGGTGTTCTAAGCACTTTATTTTTGATGCAGTTAATCTTGGTAATAACCTTATCATATCATCCCTATCATATAGATAGGACCGCAAGAAACTAAATGGCTTTCCCAATTGCAGCTGCTGAATAGTGAACATGGACTTTAGGGCAGGCAGTGTAACTCCCGTCCTACAACTCTAAGCTGCCTCTCGATGGCAGTAAAACCCTGGACTCTGGACTGGTGCTGCCCACGCGTCCCGCCAAACAACAAAATAAAACAAACAGCAAGCCAGCTTTGGGAGGCACCTTGACCAGCTTTAACTGCGAATGACGGTTACCTGCGGAGATAAAGCCCCGCCTCACAGCCAGCAGGGCCACAGGCGAGGCCTGTGTGGAAAGCTGTGCCCCAGATGCAAAGGTTGTGGTCCGGGCTCCCACCCTGGATTGGTTTTGTTTGAATAAAAATGCAACTTCCCCACTTGTGGGCAAGAGGGGTGTGTCACAATTTGAGAAACTAGTGACAGTCAAGGACTTTTTCCCTGGAAGAAGGATAATATGCAATGTTTTGAATATAACTCGAGGGATGTCGCCAGCTCCCATGCTGGTGGAGAACAGGTCCCCAAGAGCTGTGACATTGGCCGGCGCTGCGGCTCACTAGGCTAATCCTCCGCCTTGCGGCACCGGCACACCAGGTTCTAGTCCCAGTCGGGGCGCCGGATTCTGTCCCGGTTGCCCCTCTTCCAGGCCAGCTCTCTGCTGTGGCCCGGGAGTGCAGTGGAGGATGGCCCAGGTGCTTGGGCTCTGCACCCCATGGGAGACCAGGAGAAGCATCTGGCTCCTGCCTTCGGATCAGCGCGGTGCGCCGGCCGCAACGGCAAAGGAAGACCTTTCTCTCTGTCTCTCTCTCTCACTGTCTACTCTGTCCAAAAAAAAAAAAAAAAAAAAAAAAAACTGTGACATGAGCTTTGGGGAAGCGAGGCAGTGGGACTTGGCCTTCACTGTGCGATTCCTCCCAATGTTCTGTATGTTTTCCTAATGAAACGTTGGGAGGAGAGGGAAAAAAAACCTGCTTTTAAAAATGGCAAAGGAGGGGCTGGCGTGGTGTCACGGGGGTTAAGCTGCTGCCTGCAACACCAGCACCCATATGGGCACCGGTTCAGGTCCCAGTTGCTCCACTTCTGATCCAGCTCCCTGATTTTGTGCCTGGGAAAACAGCGGAAGATGGCCCAAGTACTTGGGACCCTGCCAACCACATGGGAGACCTTGATGGAGTTCCAGACTCCTGGCTTTGACATGGCCCAGTCCTAGCTGTTGCAGCCATTTGAGGAGTGAACCAACAAGTGGAAAATCTTTCTCTCTCTGTAACTCTGCCTTTCGAATAAATAATCTTAGAAAAAAATGGTAAATGATATCAAGTAAAAATATGACTTTTATATAGTAAGCACAGGTCTGGTCTCATCATTGGTCAGTTCACAAAACTAACTCCAACTCTGCTTAGTAGTAGTTCATCTTGTGAACTTTCAGAATGCTGCTACTAGAGACCATTTCCATTATGCTTACTATTTTTTTTAAAGATTTGTTTATTTGAAAGGCAGAGTTTCAGAGAGGCAGAGAGAGAGAGAGAGAGAGAGAGTCTTCCATCTGCTGGTTCACTCTCCAAACGGCCACAATGGCTGGGGCTGGGCCAAACTGAAGCCAGGAGCCAGGAGCTTCTTCCAGGTCTCCCACACAGGGGCAGGGGCCCAAGCACTTGGGCCATCTTTCACTGCTTTCCCAGGCCATAGCAGAGAGCAGGGTCAGAAGTGGAGCAGCTGGGGCTCAAACCAGCGCCCATGTGGGATACTGGCACTGGAAGGAGTGGCTTTATCTGCTATGTTATAGTGCCAGCCCTACATTTATTATTCTTACAGTTGTTTAAGGATGTCTTACTCAAGTGAACTAATTCCCTGTTCCAGGCATGAGAACACCCACAGCTAACCGGGCTATTCCTTTACTTTCTTTGGTTGTTGGCTCTAAACCACTTGCTAGAACAGAAGTATCTTGGGTATGGGTCAGAGCACAACAGTGCTTTTCTGAGATGGAGTCAGGAGGCAGGAGGACACATTGAGAAAACCTGACTTGTCCTGGCCCTAAGCAAAGGCTGGTGGAAAATCAAAGCACAGCTAACACAGGTGAGCTCCAGGCCAGCAACCAACAGGAGTGGTGTGAGTGAGTGCACGTGCTCGGGCCACTTACGGTTCAGCCCGGTGAAGCTGAACATGCCAATCTGCTCAGTGATGTGATTCCAGGTCCCAGGGGTCTTGAGGGCTTCTAGTCGTGCCCTGAGTTCCGCTCTCATGGTCAGAATCCGGTCAGCCATTGTCTTCACGTTATCTGTCCTGAAGCAAGGACAGCGGCGTATCCAAGCCAGATGGGAGAGAGTACACAAAACATGTAGGTTTAAAAACTGCAGTT